AGGAAGTATACGAAAACTTCTTACATGACGCTAACCCAGAATTGGTTTGTCTTTTTTCTCTTCAGGGTATCACAGCAGGTGTGCTAAAAATAGAGCCATCTATGCGAGGAGCCGCTACCACACACAAAGCCTGTGGGTTGAACTTTGGCTCCCACCTCTCTCAAATTAGCCAAGGCTCTTTCTACGGTAGAGTGGTCAAATGCTCTGGGACAACCTCGAATCTTATACTTGATAATTCACTATACGTATGATTCACGTTTTCTACACGGTACTACGAAAGAATTATCGTTCACAGTTCAGACTAGCATGGTGTTGACTTGTGCATTGATTGCCTTCTTGCCTCGACTGTGACGGTCGGCGTTTGGTTATTGAGCAGTGATATTGGAATTGGAGGATGTGCCTTGATTGTCCCGTATTGAGCCTTGAACTTGTTGACAGGACGACCGGAGTTGCTTGCTTGTCCGTCGTGCTTAGGTTATTTGCGGGCGAGCGGAGTTGCTTGACCGCTTAGGTTGTCGTCCTTGGGATTAACTGCGCGGCGACCTGAGTCGTTTATTGGAGATAGTAGTCCCGGAGGCCGTTGAAAGCGAACACTGCCTCGGAGCCTCAGCTTGTGCTCTCGATACCACTAAAAGTGCGTAGTATTAATACAGGAGTAAGTGGGAGGTCCGTTGGAATGGCTTGCTGGAATGGCTTGCTGGCATGCTAGAAGTTACTTTGGCACTCAAGTTATGAAGCACCTGATCGATTGGATGGCACGGGTTTCGACAAAGAAGGTACCAAATGTATCGTGAGGGAGGGTCATGACAGAGGTACCATCTCACGTGATCGGCTAGTTAGTACCGTACCGCCGGGGAACATTTACACTAAACTGTACATTGATCGGCCGAGAAGTACCGGTACGCGCTTGAACGTCACCACGAGCCGGGGATGCATTTGTATTCAGATATGGAACACTTCCATGTCGAATCAGGCTCTACAAGAACTAAATGTGAAAGGAAGTGTGATGAAGCCTGATGCACCTTATGTTGCAATCAATGCTACAAGGTTTGTTCTCTTAATTACTTACCACTTTCTCTTTGAAATAATTTTGTTCGTTAAGAGCCTTTGACAAGAGTGACAAGAAATCAATAGAGCAAAAAGTGCGCTCAACCCTTGGCCGTTTAGTGCGTCACTACAGGACGGTGAGTTATTACAGTAATCTGTCACAATAGCAGGGTCAAGCGAGGCGTCGAGGAAAATTCGGAAATACGACCCCCCCCCTCCCCGAGGCCGAAGTCCATGAAACGACCCTCTTCAAAAGCCGAACTATGAAAAGGTTGTTTAATTCCTCCCCAAAACTGTTCACCAAAGACAAAGCCCTACTACGCTACTCTCCACTTTATTTGTGAAACTTTGAAGCGAGAGCTTCGCAGATAACTCTGGGTGGTTAGAGTTTGACAGAAAAGGACAGCTTGTCAGGATACAAGGTTTTGGCTCATATTATCGCAGAGAGAGCTAACCGTCACTAAAAAGAACCGACAGTAAGACTGATTAACTGATGGTTACCCGGACCTCCATAAACGTTTTATCCCGGGATCAAGCACACGGGTGCATCAGGCGTTGAAATTTTCTTCTACCTTATAATATTTCAGCTCCGAGAATAGTGCTGACGTGATGTTACCCGAATGGAAGCGTTCATAAAGATTATGGGTTTTATATGTATCTGAATTCTTATGGTTAGAGCTATTCAAATGCAAGACCAAATATTTGCAGAATTTCATCATATTTTCTTAGATTCACGATTCGACGCTGCAATTGTTTTGCCACTTATCTGCAGCGCATTGTGTATTTTCTGTCCTCAGATTGAAACGACTTTAGAAAAACAATTTCACTATTACTTCAGTAGCTAGAGTAGTGGCCGGAGAGCCTCGCAAGCTGTTTGTCGGAATGCGCTCCTACAGATCGGATCGTATCCTGTATCCGTATCTATGAGTCATAGTTGTAGAAAAGCGATTTTATTCCGAATTATTCCGACTGTACGATGTATGTACAGTATCGGACGATTTGGGAATGAACAACAAAATTAAGCAAGTTCTTGGTCAGGTAAAGAACTAGGTAAAACTAAGCAACCAGGGAACTAATGAGGTAAAACTTCATCGCGGATTAGCCTTCCAGCTAAAAATACAAATTTCTATAATAATTCATTTAAGATCCCCTGACCTCATTTTTGTCCCCAAACGTTTCCTTAAATAAGACTGTAGTTTGTCTGAAGCTAAATCTTCATTTTGTTTAGGTCCGGGAGCTTAGTGCAGGTGCGAATTTCGGATGCAACGGCTTGTACACAGTGAAAGAGCAAGGGGATGTTCTGACCGTTCTGTGCTTCTTCCAGAATTAGTGAACTAAGTTTTTTCCACTCCGGAATGATGTGTAGTTGTCTTTTCTGTAAGACCTTCTATACTGTCATC